AACTTGACATGGCTTATGTTTAGAAGCGGAAAATGCAAAGGCCAGACTGGAAATCGAAGTCTCACAATTCTAAAATTAGAGACTAATTTGAAAAATCTTGCTGGAAAGCCAATTGGAAAGGAGATTGAGAGGTAAATGAGGGAGCAAGATGCTTGTCGAGTCTGGCGCGATTGAGGCATTGAAAGGGAGATCTAGGAGAAATTTGAGGTTCAAAGAGAGAGGAAGGAAGTTGAATTCTCACATGCAATGGAGGAAAATAGAAAAGAAAATGAAGGCATGTTTTGTTGAGGAAATGATCGTTCGAATGATGTTGATCTAAATTGGCTGTTTACATTGTCTGATGTGAATGGTTGTTTGCAGAATGAACTAAAGCTTGTTTTAAAGAAATAGAAAAAAAGGTACTGAGGAAATGGACAGTTCTGAAGCATCAGGAGGTACGTTTTCGAACAAAAGTGACCTAATTTAGAGGAGTTACCTCTCTTTGAATTCGATAACAGAAGATTGGAAAGAGGCAAAGAAAGAATTGGCTTCCAATTAAAACAAGAGGCTTTTCAGCTTCATGGCTTCAATGGAATATAATACGGAGTGAGCTCAAGCATGTTACAGGAGAAACTGTGCAGGTTAAAGAAAAATGGAACATAAAGCAGATTTAACCTTTCAGAATCTTAAATTCAAAGCTTCTTAGAGCGAAAACCAAGCTAGAAGCCTCAACTTGCAGCTGAGGAAAAGGCCTAAAAGCAATTGTATCCATCTGTCTTCTTCCACTCTTGAACAGTTTGAAAACTGAAACAGAAGTGGCAAAGAAAGAGGGAAGGAGCTATTCTATGCAGAAAAACTGCAAATATCAAAGCAGAATTCAGAAACTGTCTCTGAAATAGACTTCAACTGAAGAAAGATTGCAGGCTTGCAATGCAAGAAACTTGAGGCAGTCAAAGGCAATCAGAATTTTAGCTTCTTGAGGAATCTGCGCAAAGATTCTCTATTAGCAAATACAATTGAGAGCTAGAGCTCTTCTTTCTCAACAAAGTTCCTCAATTACATCTCAAAGTGTTGAGTACGAGTTACTTAACCGGAAAGCAGTTAAGGCGAAGAAATTTTGCAGGATAAAAAGGTAGCAGCAGCTCAGCATGGGGTAGAAGCACTGAAAGCTAATGAAAAGGAAAAATATTGATGAAAATCGAAACTAGCGCACAAAGAAATCCAAGGAAAACTAGGGTTCCGAGGAAAGAGCAAGCACGGTGTATAGAACTGAGAGGTCACTTTCTGCAAAAAAGAGTAGCCTCAGAAGGAGAAATAAGAAACTGGAGACAAAAAACGAGAGAAAAAACGCACTAGCGGATAACTTGGAACAAACATGAGGAGAAAATCCATTTTGAAAAGTAATGGCAATTTGCTACTCGAAGGAGAGTCCATGAAAGGCAATGGTAATTGGCGACTCCATTCGAAACGTGGCAAGGTTCGAAACTCTTCTTCTCCAGCTTGGTTCGAAATCACACCAAAGGATCAACTGCTTTTCGTAATCAGTGAAAAGAAAAAAGTGATGCCAAAATCTAGCCAAGTTTTTTAGTGGCAAGAGAATTGGCAAGACACATGCAGATGCTTGAACAGACTTGAGAGCCTTTAAATATGCTTTAATGGGTTTAAGCTCCTTATCATTGTTTTTCAGCCTAAATTAATACTAAAAAGGGAACAATTTTCTGCTCACATTTGAAGATTGGATTGCTTGGAAGTTTCAATTGATACTGTTTTCTTTGTAATTGGTTGCTTATTTCCAAGTTCATCATTTCATTTTTTTGCTTGCTGGTCAGTTTTACTTTTGGGTTTGGATTCCGATAGAGTCCGGGCAATAAATTACGAGAATAATACGCACGGAAAAATAAAAATTATAACAATACCAGAGAAATTTACGTGGTTCACTCTTTAATTATTTAGGAGGTTACCATCTACGAAATAAATTACGAAATAATTCTCTTCACTATTAAAAATAATAAATTATATAAAGGAAATTATACAAAAAAGATACTCAAATATTTTTTCAAAACCACTTCAAAATAATTTTCTTTATTTATTTTTTCTCCTCTAATTTATAAAACATTATACCAAAATAGATATTTTTCTCTGCATTTTTTTTTCTTCTCTCTGCTGTGCTTTTTTGGGATGAAACAAACGCGTACAAACCGCGTTTCTCTCACCACCTTTTTTTTCTTTTTCAAACAGAATGTGGGTCCCCATTTTCGCATTCCACAATAGAAAATTATTTCCCTCTTTTAAAAGATTTTAATTTCTTGAAATTTATTTACCTGATTAGAGTCAGAAGCTTTATCACGAATGCATACATGAGATTCTCGCGAAACTTACTTTTAATCAAATCAACCATTTTACCGGCTGACCTTTGTCCTTGTCAAAATTTCCATAAACAAACTGTCTGATCCAATGAATAGACGTGCACATCTATACCATTAAATGAAGTCGCCGCTTGCACTTGCAATTGCTTTTGGAACAACATTTGCAATGACTAAATTTTATTGAGCTCTTCCTTATTTTTATTCGTTTATTGAAAGTTCTGCATCCTTCAAGTCATACAATAATATATTATTCTATATTTTCTTTTGTTTCTTTTAGAATAAATGCAATTTTTATTTTTTGAAAAATAATATTTGTATAAATGGTATTAATTCACTTATCTTTTAATTTATTAGAAACAGTTAGTTGAACCACCTGGATTAAAAAAGATTTATAAATATTAAAAGTTAAAGCACGTTTGAACTCGAAATTCCATAAATAATAAATAACCGACAGTTAATATTCTTTTTTTTTTTTCTATTTTCATTTAAGATAATATTCCAACTTGTACAGAATACAGCTGATTGGCGCCCACACCATTTGCTTCGGTTAGATCAAGATTCAAGAATAATATCTATTGTTTCTTTTCCTGTTTCTAAAATTAAAATGTGGAAAATGTATTATTTATATATTAATTGCTTTAATTAATATATTCATACTTACACAAAAAAAAAAAAAACATTACAAAGTGAGAAAGATTGTTTAAAATTTTTTTCTTAAATTATATTGAAAATTTATATATGATGAGATTGGTTTATTAACACCTTTTTAACTTAGGACCAGATCAAAATTATATGTAACCTAATTTTGTTGTGAGAAAAGAAAAGAAATTGTTAAAAGATCAGTGTAATCTATTAAAATTTTCATTTTGTAAAATTATTTCATTTTTAAAATTAAAATTTTTAAATTTTAAAGTTAGTCCTCTATCATTGAATTTTTGTAAATGTTAATTATTTTAGAATAAAGGTTTGAGTGAGGTAGTGAGCGAGCTCTTCTTACGGTTCACCATTAGGCCCGGTTGACGTCAAAGTCAGCAAGTCAATACCGTTGTGGGTCATTGTTGGGCTAAATCAATAATTGGAAAAGAGCCAAAAAATAATAATACTTTAAGTCTTTTACCCGCTGATCTTTTCTTCCTTCCACTTCGTTACAAAGTTTCTGTTTGACCAACAAAATAAGAAATTGTAAAATTGAAGAAACAAAAAAAAAAAAAAAAAAAAAAGAGAAATTGCTTTCTAGTATTTCTTCCTTTCAGATCAACATATCGGGAATTCTAAAAGAGGATTTAATATTATGGCAGATGCACTTGTTTCTGCTCTTGTTAGTTTTACATCTCTTGACAAACTTTTAAAATAATCTTTGCTTCTTGGCGAGTCTTGCCTGTTCTTGGTGGATTGAGACGCGAGCTTGAGAATCTTCAAAGTACATTAAGTACAATCCAAGCTGTTTGCTCCGTGACGCCGAGAAGAAGCAATGGAAGAGGTGAAGCCTGTCCAGAATTGGCTTTGGGAAGCCTCAAGGATGCATGCTTATGATTGCAGATGCATGTTCTTGATGAATTTGACAAATAGAAAGCTTCGAAAAAAACTACAAAGGGGTTTTCAAGAGGAACCGAGTTAAGTTTTTCTTTCTCTTGAGAATTCCTCTTGTTTTTTCATGCAAAAATGGCACATGAATTGAAGAATGTCAACGGAAAATTAGATGCCATTGCTTAATGAGAAACAAAAAATTTCACTTAATATAGGAGACCGACAGAGAAATTAGAAGCTAGTGAGGATTTTGATCGGAGACCAAACTGGTTCATTTAAGTGAATGAATTTAGAAATTTGTGGAAAGAGATAAGGAGAAAGAGGGAGTTTTAGTCAATATGGTGTTGTCCAATTTCGGATGATTTTCATGTTTATTGCAGTATGTGCATTGGGGGACTTTGGGAAGGGAACTACACTTGCTCAAAGACTACACTTGCTCAGTTAGTGTATAATGATAAAAGGGTAGAAAGTCATTTTAATATGAGAATTTGGGTTTGTGTGTCTGACGATTTTGATATAATGAGGTTGACGAGAGCCATCATAGAGTCCATTGAAGGTAGCCCTTGTAACAATGAAAAGTTAGATCCCTTACAACGCCGCCTCCAAGAGAAGTTAAGTGGGAGGAAATATTTGTTTGTGTTGGATGATGTGTGGAATGAATATCATGATAAGTGGGAGAAACTGATCAATGTATTAAGGTGTGGAACACAGGGGAGTGCTGTAATAGTAACTACCCGTGGAAAAAGTTGCTCTTATGATGGCCACGGCACCCGTTCAGGTTCAGCACATGAATAGATTGTCTGATAATGATTCTTGGTTGTTGTTTGAGCGGCACGCCTTTAGGATGAGAGCTAAGGAAGATTATACACACTTGGAGGCCATTGGGAAAGACATAGTCAAGAAATGTGGAGGGGTACCTTTAGCTGTAAAGGCATTGGGAAGCATGATGCTATTTAAAAGAAAAGAAAGCGAGTGGTTAGCTATCAAGGAAAGCAATATTTGGGATATGCCAGACGATGGAAAAACAATTTTGCCTGCCTTGAAGTTTTGAAGTTGAGCTATGATCATTTACTGCCACATTTGAGGCAGTGTTTGTCCTTTTGCTCAGTATTTCCCAAAGATTATGCAATGAAGAAGGATCAATTGGTTGAGTTGTGGATCGCAAATGGCTTTATTTCTTCTAGAGGAGGTATGGATTTGCATGATATGGGCCATGATATATTCAATGATCTAGTTTTGAGGTCATTTTTTGAGGACATCAAGGAGGATGATGATGGAGATATAAGATGTAAATTACATGATCTGGTTCATGACCTTTCATGACCTTGCACAATCAGTTATGAAATATGAGTGTTGTTTTATTGAACCTAATAAAACATTGGAAGTTTCCAAAGTGGTACGTCACTTGGCTTTTTATAGTGCTAACTATGGGCCACCTATACCTAGAAACAAGGACCTCCTCAAAATTCGATCATTGCGTTCATTTCTTGTGTGTCCTCTAATTGATGATTTTCTTCCTTTCTTGATTAAACAGAAGCATCTAAGAGCCTTGCGATTGCGTAACACCTTTGAAAAATGGCCTATTTCAATTGATAAATTTAAACATTTAAGATATTTAGATTTTTCTCGGAGTGAGGTTGGATCTTTACCTGAGTCCATAACCTCCCTCCAAAAGCTTCAGACATTAGATCTCCGTTACTGTTATAATCTCTCTAAACTGCCAAATGGTTTGAAGCACATGAAAGATCTCATATATCTTCACATCACTGGATATCTTCACATCACTGGTTGTGATGAGCTTACCTGTATCCCTCCTGGAATAGGACAATTGACTCGTCTGCGAAAGCTTAGCATGTTCATTGTGGGCAAGGATGCTGGTCAGCAGATTGGGGAGCTGAGAAGCTTGAACCTTGATGGCCAGTTAAGCATCAAAGGTCTCGATAATGTGAAGGATTTAACAGATGCTAGAAGTGCCAACTTGACTTCGAAGAAAAATCTCAAATGGCTAGAGTTAATATGGCAACAAGGCAATGGCAACAACAGCTCAACAGAAAAAATTGAAGAGACTTTATGTGGCCTCCAACCACATTCAAATGTAAAGAAGTTGAGTATAGAGGGATATGAAGGTTCAAGGTTTCCAAATTGGATGATGGAGTTACAATTACCAAATCTAGTGGAAATCTCATTATCGGGTCGTAGATGTGAACATCTTCCACCACTTGGGAAATTGCAGTATCTTAAGATTCTCCATTTGTCCCACATGGATGTTTTGAAGCACATTGATAATGAGGTATATGGAGATGATGAAAGTGCATTCCCATCTTTGGAGATCTTGCGTCTTAATAGTATGGATAACTTAGAGGAATGGGCAACGGTTGCTGAAAGAAACATTTTTCCTCGCCTTGGAAAATTATACGTGAACGGCTGCAAGAAGTTGGTTGACTTGCCGGTCATACCATCCGTCAGAACATTAGAAATTGAGGGAGAAAGTGAAATGTTACTTAGTTCAGTTCAGAATTTTCCTTTTCTCACTACGCTTAGGATAGATGGCTTTGGTAGTGTGAGAGATTTTCCCGCTGGATTGCTACATAATCATAGAGTCCTTGAGAACTTAGACATAGTTTCTATGAAGAGTCTGAAGTCGCTTGCAAATGAGTTAGAGAACCTATCTGCTCTTAAAGTCTTGAATCTTGAGCAATGTTATGAACTAAAAAGCTTGCCAGAAGGTCTCTTAAAGCTTAATTCTCTGGAGAAAATACGCATATATAAATGTGGCCTTGTATCTTTCCCAGTCAATGGATTTCGTGGTGTGGCTTCACTTTCACTGCATATCGAAGGGTGCAATAAATTTACGTCTTTATCTGAGGGAGTGCGATATTTGACTGCACTTGAGGATTTGGATGTACGGAAGTGTTCAGAGCTGAATTCATTGCCTAAGAGTATCAGCCATCTCACTGCTCTCCAAAGTCTGACAATTGGTGGAAGTAAGAGATTGTCTACTTTGCCAAATGAGATAGGAAGTCTAACCTCACTTCAACAGTTGCTGATCGACAATTGCCCTGATTTGACTTGTTTGCCGCAAGGGGTGCAAAATCTCAAGAGGCTGAGACTTTTGTGGATTAGCGATTGTACATATCTTGAGAGGAGGTGCCAGATAGAAAGAGGAGAAGACTGGCCGAAGATAGCGTAGGCGATATATCGGTACAAGAAGAATCTTGTAGAGGAAGAGGTGCCAGATGATACGAGGAAGGAAGGAGGAGACTAGGACACGCGAAGTAGTCTCACTCATACACCGTTATTAGTGTTGTCATGTCAGAATCAGATAGAGGTTAGTAAGCAGGGCACTCCTACTCCACCTAGTTTTGTCAATTGTTGTTAGAAAAGTCAGTAAGTGTGTGAAAGATAGTTTAATTGCAATATAAATTAGAACTCTTGAATTTCTATTTATACGAAAACTGTATAATTAGAAATCATCTAAGGACAAAATGAATATGTTGCCTAGGTTTATAGTTCAAAAATTTCCTTTTATTTATACGAAACTGTTATAATAGAAATCCTAGGACAAAATGAATTGTTGCCTAGTTTAGTTCAAAATTTTCCTTTTATTGCTCACCGTTGGAATGTGTAATAGAGAAACAAGAAAGAAATAAAGGTCCTCTTAAGGCCACCACGCCTAATTGTATCATTCAGTCTCACCTTATGTCAGAGAATTGATTATGTATTCGTAACTCTAAAAAAATAATATAAAATAAAATGTAAAATAGTTTTAAAAATTATTTGATCAACTATTATGGAATTATTAATTATAATTATTTTATAAATTAAGAAACTTTTAAATAAAGAAAAGTTAATAGAACAGGACAACCTTCTAAATTCAAAAACTATGTAAAGGAAAAAAAAAAAAAGAAAAGGAATTATAAGATTAATGGAACTAATGAAAAATTATGAAATTTCGTGGCTGATTCTAATTAGTGGATTCCAGCATATTGTAATGGTATCGAATTAGGCAATGGGTTTTCTGGTGTAGCTTCACTTCGGTCGCTGTCCATCGTAAGCTGCCACAAATTTACGTCCTTTATCTGAGCAAGTGCAGAATCTAACTGCACTTGAGGATTTGGTTGTGAGCGACTGTCCACAGCTGAACTCATTGCCTGAGAGTATCAGCTATCTCACTGCTCTCCGAAGATTGAGAATATGTAATTGTGAGGGATTGTCTTCTTTGCCAAATGAGATCGGATATCTAACCGCACTTCTTTACTTGAGGATCAGAGATTGTCCAAATTTGACCTGTTTGCCAGAAGGAGTTCAAAGCCTCAATAGACTCCAAGAGCTCAGTATTACACGTTGTCCCTATCTGGAGAGAAGATGCCAGAGTGAAAGAGGAGAAGATTGGCCAAAAATAGCTCATATACCTGCCATTTGCATCAATGATCGGCCTATACAGTACGGTCCACTTTAATTTCTCATGACTGTAAGTTTCTCTGTTTTGCTTTTTGTTAGACTTTACTATTTGTTTGAGCTTAATGGTTGTTTGTGTGCACGTGTGTGTTTCTGTGTCCGTACAGAGTTAATTGGAATTGCATACAACTTTTGCTTGTTAAAAAAAGAACACTTTCTCTGAGTTAACACATCTGCCTAGTGGATTGCTAAAAAAAGATAAAGCTGGTTGGCGAATTAACCATTTTTAGCATGCACAATACAGGGTCTCTGTTGACCTGCTAACCTCTCTTTAAATTGCTGGTAATCCAATAGAAATTTCTGCTAAATCTCTGTTGGGAAATTGTTATTAGCTCTGGGATTTCTCTCCTCTTCCTTTTTTTTTTTTTTTTTTTTTGGATTTCTCTCCTCTTCCTTTTTCTTTTTTTTTATTATTTTTTTTGGCTAGCTCTAGGAACAAGGTTTTTTGGTTGATTGTAATTTTGTAATTGATTTAACTGAATTTGCAGATGATGTAAATTTCGAAGAACTATTAATTGCCAGATAATCATTTAACAAATTTTGCCCAGTTAGTAACGAATAGAAACCCATAGAAGATTGATTATATTATGATGAATACATATATCTTATATCTACTCTTAATTTTTTCAAGGCTTTTTTAGCTTGAAAAAAAATTAAGTATATTAATTTTTTAACTATATGAAAAAAGATTAATATATTGAAATACGTATTAATTCAATTCTTAATATTAGTTAGAAAAACTTGGGAGAAAGCAAAAGAATAGTTATTTTAGATCATTCAGGAGCCCATGAACTAACGGTATTTCATTATTTTTTCCACATTGATCCCGAAGATTCGTTTGGCAGTTTTTTTTTTTTTTTTTTTTTTGCGCTAGCTCTAGGAACAAGGTTTTTGGTTGATTGTAATTTTGTATTTGATTTAATTGATTTTGCAGATGATGTAAATTCGAAAACTATTAATGCCAGATAATCTTTCAAAATTTGCCCAATTAGTAAGAATAGAACCCATAGAAATTGATTATATTATGATGATAATATAATCTTATATCTACTTTCTTATTTTCAGGCTTTTTTTATTGAAAAAAATTAATATATTAATTTTTTTAATATATGAAAAAAAGATTAATATATTGAAATATATTAATCCAATTCTTAAATTATTAGAAAACTTGGGAGAAAGCAAAGAATAGTTAATTTAGACATTCAGAGCCCATGAACTAACACGGTTTTCATTTTATTTTTTCACTTGATCCCGAAGTTCGTTGGCAGTTGGCAGTTGGACACCCTACAATACAAATGCACCTATTGTTGCACATTTCAGAGTTCCAATGTCAGTAATACTGTAAAAATCATTGCAATAATAACATAACAAAAATCTTCAGGATATTTATCACTCAGCTCCAACAACCTAAATTACTGTTACCCCAATCCTCAGGAATTTCACTCAGGCCTTGCTAGAACCAAAGAGAAGCATCACCTTTCTTTGAAGCCAATCATAAGCAGCAGTGAAATTATTACCACGTGCACTTTCGACAAATATCTAAATCAGCTTGTAGGGTTAAGAGCACGCTCTATTTCCTCCAAAGATCGTCCCTTTGTTTCCACAACATTTCCAGCTATGTACAAGACAGCAAGAAGACAGATGCCTGAAAATCCCAAATATACCGTGCTGATCCCAAACTTGGTTACAACGCTCAAGAAGTAGAGACCAATGAAGAAATTTGAAATCTGTTATCATCAAAGAAAGCCAACTCATTACATTATATATTACAAACATTTGATAGTTTCAATCTATTTACTAATCATTAATTAATGAATAAGGACAATTAGCCATATATATAATTTTCCGCAGATTTATGGTTTACTTCTCATTTATAAGTCAATTGCTTAATTCAAAGGTTCTATTTGTTGTTGTCCTCTGCCAAAAACTAGATTCTAAATGCAACAGCAATCAAATACAAAATCAAATCCGTCTAACACCATTACTTGGTATAACATCGCCATGTGGGAATAGTAGGAAAGTTTTCTCCCTCATAACTTACCCAGTGCATGCCCAAGGATAATGCAACTGCTTTTGCTCTGATTCTGGAGGCGAATATCTCTGGCAGAAGAAGAGCAGGAACAGGACCAGCACCAAGTGAGAAGGACAACACATAGCTGTGTTACGAGATTAAAGACACATTTAGTTTTCACAAGCCAAAAGAAGATAAAATAGAAAAAACCTAAAAAGCTTCTCATTATTCAAGTCAGGAAAATCATTAACTTACCAGACGGTCCCAAGAACAGCAAGGGTGCCAGAATACGGTGCCAGTACCTTCCAAGTGAGTGACAAAGAAAGCAACAACATCGAAGCAGCCTTCACATGCAAAAAAAAAAAAGCAAAATGGAAATGTATCAGACGAAAATATCCTAAAATATCCGCTAGAACTTTTGCATGAGAAAAGACATTTACTGTGAAGATAAATAGAAGCTAAAAAAAATATCATATCCTTTCATTTAGGCGTACGTATATAGATGGATTTCAGCAATGGCAAGTTCATATAGTGTTAAGTTTTATGCCAAGCGCATCATGAACAAAAGATATCACATTGGCATCCTAGAATAAATACAGTGTCTCAGATAAACTGTCCTTTGGACAAGGAAAATCCATTCATTCGATAGAAAATTGCCTTCAGGCATCTGTTGGATCAGTTGCATCAAGAGAATAAATATTAGCAGATGCAGATCCAATCACCAAACCCTTTTAAGATATTCCTCCAAAAATAGATTTGAGGCTGCCTTGCTGGTTCAAATCATAACAAAATAAATAAAGAGGCCATGATAATTACTTTTCTCTCTTTTCTTCTAGATATAATTATACAGGGCATTGGACCAGTAGGTGTACTTGAAGAAACTTTTAAGAAAAATAATTGTGTTGCAGCACATAATTTCAAGGACTCTGAGCTAGTTACTTCATAGGATAAAATATTTAACAGAAATTTAAATCTGCTTAAGGAACGGTTTCATACTAAAAAAAAATGTATACCATTCCACAGAAGCTTGTAATTAGAAGACTCTTCCTTCCTTGTTTGTCCATTAAAGATGATGCAATGGTTGTGCCTAGAAGAAGCCAGTCTCGTTAAACATGGAATGAAACCTGTAAAATCATATTTCTTCCCTAGATTTCAAAAAGAAACAGAATTTTACCAAAGACATTTGATGCCCCAACAAGAGCACTTGCAGCAACGTCAGATGCAATTCCAACACTGCGGAACACAGCAGTAGAATAATAAACCACAGCATTTATCCCAGCCATCTGCTGGAAGAAGAAAAGTGCCACACCAACACTCACAACTGCATCACAGAAAATAACAGGGGAAAAAACATTTACCATCATTCCTCAGGCTAGTGTCTTAGGAATACAAGTTTAAGTGCTTGTGCCGCAGGCAAGGTGAAATGAATTTCAATTACTGGGGAAAAAACATTTACCATCACTCATCAAGATTAGTTACAAATGTAGTGTCTTAGGGATACAAGTTTAAGTGCTTATTAGATTAGATACCTTCAATTGTGAAACACTATGTTTTAATACGCCAACATTAAAAGAAGTACCAAGACTTGAGCTTTTGATATAAGAACACAGTTTCACAACCTGATATTTTTATTACTAGTCATTGTCTCAGCACTGTTGGTTATTTGGTTTAACAAGGTACTGACAAGTCCAACAAGGTGCACATGCCATATACCTTTATCAGGTTCAGTAGCAGTAGTTTTAACTTATGCATTGAAAAATATCTGAAATACAGGTAAGCATTACTGTTCACAAAATTTTGGAACATTGAAGATTCCAAAGTGCCACATAATTCCGCAAGACAAAAAAAATCACCTGATCAATTATTGTTCAGGTTGTCCAAAACATTAAAAGTCCAATACCACAAAATCTATTTCATCCAAAAACAATATGCTGTATTACATGACTTTAAGGTACCTTTCCAATAGCGACTGCTAAATAGATCAAACCATCCTGCTTCTGGCTCTGCAGAACCTTGACCTCCGACTGCTAAATCCTGCATAACCTCAGCAACTCTATCTTTTCCATAGAGCGTCCTTATAGACTTTTCCGCCTCAGAGAGTTTTCCTTGCTGCAAGGCAATATCTCTCAGTGAACAACTCTTTATAATGAATGATTTATAATCTATACATAGTTACATTGAAAAATGTAAATAAAATATTAAAATGCTCCAATGAGGAGATTAAATCCCGCAGGAAAACCTGATAAAGCCATCGAGGGCTTTCTGGAGAAAATGCCATTCCCAGTGCCAATAGAATAGCGGGGACAGCTGCGATGCCAAACATTGTTCTCCACCTAACAAACGGCATATAAAGAGAAACTGAATAACATAGAGCAAAAAGTTATCAACATAAAAAAATGTAAAAGAAAGATTTTAGGAGTCATGCAGGAAAGAGAGTAATTAAATTTTAAAACATAACTTGCCACCATTCAATTAACTTTATTAACTGAAATCCATAAACTATATATTCCTTGTGTGATATGATGACTTGGCACCACATAAAATCATCATAAAAGCACATTTAATATTCTATCTGAAAATGCTAATATGAGATTCCTACAATCATGACTATTTTTTCTCTAGCCACGCAAATCACACCAATCTTCAAATGCATTTTCTTATGGTATGCTCAAGGGAAAACAGAACCAACTTAAAAGAATTTTTTAACAAGCTTCTATCAAAACTTATTAATACCTAATATCTTCATGAATAATGCTTGAACCATGAACTTAACATTCAATTGGGGATTTCTAGAAGAGTTACTTATAATTGAACTAAAAAGATAAACTGTAATTTTGAAATAAATGTATTTGCTATTAGAATTGCAAATTCTTAGCATCTATCTAAATCTGATGGTGATACTCCTGACTTTCATTCAATCTCAGAATTCATAACAGTTGATCTTTGAAGCAGCACTGCAAAGAGACAATATGTTATCTAAAATGTTATATATTGTCTTCAGGTTAACTTAATGCAAAAATTTGAGCATGCAACCAAAACAGACAAAAAAACAGAAAGAAAGAAAGAAAAAAAGCAGGCTAGACAAGCACACATACCATAAAGGGTTTCCTGCTAGTGGTAATCCAGCAACCAATGCCAAAAGGATCCCGATACATATGAAAAGTTGGTTTACAGACCCCAATGCACCACGAATTTCAGTTGGTGAAATCTGACCAAAAAAGGTGTTAGAACATCAGCTCTTACAAAATTAAAAGCAGCCACCTTAACGTGAAAATAAAGATAAATTGCAACCTCAGATATGTAAAGAGGCACAATGGCAGAAGATATGCCAATCCCAATACCAGCAAGTAGGCGTCCAATTATCATAGTCTGTACACTCTGTGCTGTAGTACTGAAAACATATAAGACAGCTTGAAGTATTAGTTTTAGCACTAGTAGCAATGATCACAAGCAAAGTCCAATCAGACAGGACAAACCAAAGAATTGCTCCAATTATGAGAGGGATTGCATCTAATTGAAAAGTTCTTGTTCTGCCGAACTTATCCGCCAATGCTCCCCCAGTAAATGAACCAGCAGTAGCACCAGCAAGTAGCGTACTAACAATCCATCCTGTTCAATGTTGCGAGAGGAAAATATAAGCTACATGATGATAACTAAAACAGTAAAAAAATTTTAACCAACCAGATTTCTCATCGTGCAAGTAGCTACTAATAAGTTGAAAATGACTGAAATTACTTTTCTTTTCCTAGTAAACATCATTGATTTTATTAATTCAACAATTCTCTTATTCTTTACTGAATAAACAAGCATTTTGCTGTTATAATAAGTTCAGCCAACACCATTCCCTGTTTTGCTTTGTTCGATGCACAGTCTCTTACTCAATTTGATTTAAGTGATAAACACATGCTACCAATACTACCACAACATCAGATTTAAACAATAAAAAAGCAACATCTGCCTAATTTAACTTCATCTTGCCTTGCAATACAGTGTTTTCAGCAATTCCAAGATCCTTGGCAAGATACTCAAGTGCACCATTCACCACCCTGAAGCGGCAACGAGGAAGAGAAAACGACAGTCAGCCTCATACAGAAAGAAATGTCAGCACACCATAAAGATAATCACGATAACTTGCATTAGAATATCCAGAAAAAAAATAGGAAATGGATATACTTGAATTGAGAAATGCAGAACGAAGCAAAAAAAGATTATAATTCTGAGTCAAGACTTAAACATACCCCAGATGATAACCAAACAAAATAGCTCCCAAACAAGCGACACCAACAAAAGGCAGAACTATTCCAGTAGATTTTTTCGGAGGATTGACAAGAGCAGCTTCTTCAACATCTCCATCTATAATTCAGATTCAAATGCCAGTTAAAATACCATATTCAGAGAACGATTCAAATTCCACAAAAAAAAAAAAAAAATCTGAATTGAAGTAAGCATGAAAACAAAGGTCCAAAAACGAACCAGAAGATAGAGCTTTAACCGGACGGGACCTAGAAAAAGCAGTACGCACAAGCTCGGTTCCCATGGAGACCGAATCCATATGACGCAATCCACAACAACTGATTCGGCTACTCATGCAACTGTTTTTATTCAAATACGATACTGAGAGTGAACTTTTCTTACTAAAATCACCGCCAAGGCCACCGGCGACGAGCAGTCTCCTCCGATTATGCGGCTCAAAACCGACGCTTAAACTGCCGCATTTAACTGCGTACATGGATGCCTGCATTTTATGTAGTACCTGATTTGAAAATTCAATGAATGAAAAAGTCAAAATTACCAAAGAAAAATAATAATAATAAAGAGAATTAAAGCAATGCCAAATTGAAGATGATCAAAACGGAACCGTTTGATCTGTAATTACCAAATCAAAGCTAATAAGAGTTATTTGCCACTTCTGTGTCTAACGCTGGTTGCTTGCTCTGTTTTCTCTCTTTATTTATTTGCTTACAGAGAGAGGAAGCTTTGGAGAATCCGTTGACGAAGAGAGAGGAGAGACAGTTTCACTCGCTATGAGCTTAACAAACAAGAACAAAGTTGGTGGAGAATTCAACTATTTATTGTTTTAATATTTAATTTTTAAAAAATAATAATAATATTAATTATATGGATACATACAGATTCGGAGAAAAATATGCAAATATTTGAGGGGAAAAATATAAAAATGGAAAATGGAAAATGGATAATTACGTTGGGATTTTGGATTAGATTTTGGGTCATGTTCGCAGGCGGCAGGTGATGGTGGGATGCACGTGGGGAACACACCAGTGCTTTACGTTGATGTGTTTCTCTTGCTCGTTGCAGCAGCTCAATAATTCATTGTACTACCAGTTTGCTTCGCCTTTATTTTTCCAGTATAATTCGATTCTCCAAATTTTTTTGGCAATAAGTGTTTTATTTATATTAAGTAATTCATTAATAATGGTTAATTCATTTATAGTAATTATTATATATCATACCATGGCATACCTGATTTACAATTTTTTTTTTTCTTTTTCAAACGGGTGGCATCCAAAATACTACCATAATTTAATAATATTTTACCAAATATGAAGCTTTACATGTCTCGTCTTTTTATTTTTTTATAAAAGTGAAAAAATTAATTGGATTAAATTTTTTTTTATAGTCTCAAAGGTGAGATAAAATGATAAAATTTTTTAAGAGGTCTCGACCTCGAGTGTTGGAGTCCTTTTAATAAATTACATTACTAATAAATTATTTATTAATAAATTATTTATCGTGATTAACCCTCGAATCGGATCAGGCGGTCCTTGACAATAGAGTTCGGATACCAGTAGTTTACACTAAAAATAAATAAATTATTTATCAATTCACATTATTTTAGTCATATAAACCCCTTTTACCTCTTCTATTAAACTGTTTTCCATAGCCAGTAATCCTCATTTTCCAATTCAAAAATCCATTCTGCATAATCCCAAGTGATCAAGCTAAATCGTTTGCCTTCCTTTGACAAAGAAAATAAAGAAAGAGTTACAAACCTTTTCTTTTAATAAACCTGAGAAGTAAAATTGAAACTAAAGAAATTATCACAAGCAACTGTGTAAAAAAAAAAACAACAAAGTGTTGATCGGATCGGTAAACGATTTTAATCTCTTAAAGTTGAAAATATAAGTTTGAATTTCAGAAAATTCACTAAAAAAAGGACACCGTTCCGTGTGCTTCTTGTTTATAAGATTGGCATAATTATTTAAGCCAACAAGAATCAAGTACCCTCAAATTATTAAAAATAAACAAGAAAAATTCTTAAGAGAATCTATACTAGAAAAAGCCACTATCATATCATTTTCATCTAGTGTTATCATTTGATGCCCCGTTTTACTTTTTCCTTTTCTTTTTTTTTTTTTATCTTTTTATTCACATTAATCTGACTCTCATCAAGTTAATAAATCATATTTTTAACGTAAAAAATTACAAGTTGATCTAAATCAAATATTGTGTAGTAATTAAAGAGTAAACATTAAGCATTTAGTGGGACAAATCTAAAAATTTTAATATACAATTCTCAAGCAAGAGATCCTTAGCATTTCTCATTCTGCTTTTGATATTATTCCTAATAAGAGATATTTATAGGTTATATAACATTTAAACCTTTTAAATAAACACTTATAAATGCACGACAAGACATAGTCTAATGATAAATACATATACGACCTAACAATAAATTCAGATTTGAATCTACTGTTTCAATACACAAAGATTTTAACCGCAACTAACAGCAGATGGTTTCAAAATGTATTTCATGTCAACTATAGCTTTTATTATTTCTTTTATATTTTCACTTCGTTAACTTCGTAAAAATAATTATTAAATAAATCATCTTTTAAATTAATGTTTTTATCAATTTATTTATAGCTATTCCATGCATATGAACTGCCCCAGCTGTCTGACGGTAGTAGAAGACCCTGTCCATGTTCTTAGGGATTGTCCCCAGGCGAAAAGTGTTTGGACTTCGTAGGAGCGGATGGAAATTTTCATTGGTTTGTCCATCGCGTGGGAGTTGAGAATGCAGCTTGTGGAAGTCCAGACGGTTTCTCAGGTCCAGCTTCTTTCACTCCCGGAGTCTCATTCTGTGCGATACCAAAACATAGTTTTCTCTTGCCAAAATCTGATCAAAAGAGCTTGGAGGGTGGTAATTACGAAGATTTATAGAGAGGCGAATGAGGTTGCGGACTATATGGCGCATGCAGCTCTTCATGCTGATAGGAAGTTGCAGGTGTTGGATAATCCGCCGGGTGGTGTGCTGCAACGACTTACAGCAGATTTGGCTGGAGCAATCTGGCCTAGAAGGCTGATGTAATTGTTTCTTTGGCTTTCATTCCTCCCTTCCATTCAAAAAAGAAAATTTATTTATAATTATTTAAATAAATTTATATTATTATTTTAAATTATTACATTTTTATTTATATCGCACGTCAAAATAAAAAATAGTATATTCACCTTAAAAATTTTTTAGATTATATATATTATATAATATAATATAGAAGGCAATCTGGCTAGAAGCTGAATGTAATTGTTTCTTTGGCTTTTCGATTTCCTCCGCTAGCCATTCAAAAAAGAAAATTTTAATTTATAATTATTTAAATAAATTTATTATTATTTTAAATTATTACATTTTTTATTTATATCGCACGTCAAAATAAGAAATAAGTATAATTCACCTTAAAAATTTTGTAGATTATATATATATATATATAATATATAATTAAATATTTATATATATTATATAATATAATATATAATTATATCTCTAATGGTGATTTTGTATTTTAACAATACTGTTTACGAAATATTTCCACAATTTGGGCCTGCTGCCTGCTATTTGTACAGTAGAGATTGCAGCCTATTGAGTGTTGGGCCTGGGTTATTTAGTTATACAGAATGTTTTGTTTGCCTGTCTAATTTGGGCTTTTCTTAGCAATTGAAAACTATTTACTTTCTAATTTGTCATTTTACATACTTCCTCTCTCAGTTTTCCTTTATTTCAGAGTATTCAGAAGTTAATAAAGAAAATTTTGATCTTACGTGTTATTCTTATCACTTTTTTATTATCAAAATCTTTAAAAATCAGACACTTACTCATTAATGAGAAGTTCATGGATGATGTGTGAAAATTATACTCATAATTACTTATTATTATTATTATTATTATTATATTACAGCTTACAAATGTAATTTTAATAGGTTTAATATATTATAGCAAAATGCAATATAATATAAGTAAAAATATTTTTAGATTAGATAATAAGACCACTTAAAATAGATTTGATGAATTTTTATAAAATATAAAATTTTAGAAGTAACATTAATTATTTTTAATCGAATGCTGCAATATCAAATCCTAATAATAAATTGAAGCAAACTTAATTACCAATTGAGCCTCTTCTAAAAAAAAAAAAAAAACAATTGAGCCAATTAAATACTTAATTGTGATTTAAAAGTGATTTAATCATTAAAGCTTGTGAATTTTTTTAATGTGATAGAAGATTATTGGTATGGTACACATCAATACCATAGATTGAATTTAATTGTAAAAGATTTTAGGTCTATCCGACTAAATTAGCCGTTTTAATAGATGTTAATGGTCCATATATTAGATTGAATTATTCTGAGTTGTTATAAATTATTTTTTAAATTTATTTAATCAGGTTTATTGCAGAAATTATTTTTTTAATTTATTTAATTAGGTTTAATATAGACCATTAAAACGGATAAGGGTCTAAATACATAATGCAATTATTAAAAAAGAAAATGATAGCTATGCTTACTACTTCCTACTCTACAAATGGGCCAATGGCTTGAAAATGAGCTTGTGAACTCAATAGTTCTTTCCTAGCTAACAGCCTCAAGTCTTGTCTTGTAAAGAACGTTGTCAAGACAAATGCATTTACCTAATTCTTCAAGACTAATAGTAAGTTCAAAATTTCAAATCAACAAACAATTATTAGACCAAGCTTTCTTTTCTAAAAGTATCCATAATAGATGTCTAACCCCATGTATAATTAAATACCAATGCCAATTTTAAGTTTAGCTTCTACCGAGACAAAATCTTCTTTGCTGATGGCATAATCAATTTGGGTTCTTCACTTTCTTCCTTGAGTAGACATATTTCACTTTGTTGGTAACCTTTTTAATTGCCAATTGCATAAGTTTCTTCCTTGATTAGTCTTAAGTCTTAACCAACTATGGGGACGCATCTTCTTTGGTTCTAGAATCATAGTTTATACCCATATGTTTTTTTTTTTTTTTTTTTTTTATGTTTTTTTTTTTTTTTTTTTTTGTGTAACAATTTTTTTTTTTTTTTTTTTTTTTGTTACATTTATACCCATTTGCATTTTAAATTATACGAGTAGGTTGGACAATATTAATTATTTTAATAACTATTAATTGTTATAGTAGTTGTAATTGTTTTAATTGTTTTATTAGTTGTTAGTCGTTAACTATTAATTGTTTAACGTTTTATAAAAAGTTCAATTCACCTATAAGAACTATTATAAAAATTATATTACCGAATATTATAATTAATAAATATAGAGTTGCATAGCCTGCAGTGTTATTTCGACCAATCAGATTTTTTAATAAATTAAAAAAATAATAGCTCTAAATACTATATATCATTACCATAAATAGTTTAAAATTTATGAATGGTTGTTCTGCCCGTAGTAACTGTAGAATCACGTGTACACATGTTAATTCATATAACATTCTTATAAACCCAAATTGGAAGGACATGTTAGGTGATTTGGGCAATCTAAATTATTTTGTAGTGTAAGTTTATTGAAGTCTATGTCTTCAATCAACTACAAGAAAAGCATGAAAAATGACTTGTAAAAGAGAGTAATTTTCTGATTAGGTGTGAGAAACAATATCACAAGAAAGAGAATTTGTCAAGTAATTGCTGCTTGGTGAAGTAGCTGATTATAAATCAGAGACTTCAGTAATAACTCAATAATTAGGCTTTGATTTTAAAAATTAATGTCAAACGCAAAATTTTTTTTTTTTTAAAACCTAAATTCTGCATCCGATGCTGATAGATACTCAATTTTATTGCACAAAAATGAAAATTTAGAAGATATGAAAAAAATTTAGGAAAAATAAATTTGGGTTACCTGCATTGATCCTTATGAAATAATGTGGATCTACTTGCATAGAACAGACAAAAACTATTTGGTCTACATAAATAGGGAAAAATTGACAAAAGAATAATTATTAGCAACAAGCAGCAGACAAGACGAGACAAGTTTAAGGTTCTGGTGATGACTTTTGGGGGGTAGTTTGGATTTAAAATGGATCTATGATTGCACCTTTCTTTTCACATTACAGCTGCATTAGCCTTAAATAGAAAAAAAATATATTACTAATAATGCAACTTAACAAAAGGCAGTAGAGTTACACAATATTATGACTATTAAAATTTATATTTTAAATCCTAAAAATTATTATTATTATTATTAAGTATAAAAATTATTATTTTACTCATATTGGCAACACGTTAGATCTCTTTGGTCATTTATTTATGTATGATCAAATATTAAATGTATGTATGTATGATGTTATGATCAAAATTTATTATGTGGGACCTTAATAACTTTTTGATGAAAAGAATGAAACCCCCTAATTATGGTAGTTAGTAAGATATGAGAAGATCCTCCCTTGAATAAATAATGGTTTAGAGTTAGAAACTTAACGTCAATCACGCAAACTTACAAATATTATTAGTAAATAAGTGGGCCCAATACCAATGCTAATCTCTCTATTAATCACTAGTCTAAGCAAGTCTTTCGTATAGAAAATTAGTGACGTTAGGTTTAATTTTTCTAAGCTAACCTTCTTGTCTTGTGAGTTAAAAGTGTTTGAATCTTTCAGCTTCAAAATCTATGATTAGATACGCTAAATAAATAAATACATATGCATGAAAGACTAGTATCATACGAGTATAGAGTTTGTTAGCTTTCAACTTGAGTTAATCTCAAAGATTTGAAAACAAACTTAAACTAATTAAAACCTCAAAAGTCAATCAAGTTTAATTTAATTATTCTAATTTATTAAATTAATTATATATCTAAATACTAGCTCAATAAGTATGTATTGTATAATTAAGTAGCACAGTAGATTAAAATAATAATTATATATTATAAAAACTGCATGGTGTGAGTTATAATATGGTCAATAAGCTTACCTTCTCTAGTTAATTTCTTGCTCTGTGCTTTTCCTGATAGTTTTTGCTTTTTCCTTCTCTTCTTTGGGTTTTTCACAACCAACTTTTTTCTCTTCACTTTTCTGTCTCAACTTAATCAAATTCTCTCTCTGTCTCATACTGTTTTAAAGCTTTTATAACCCTTTATAAATATCAGCTTAAACACAATTGAACCACTAGTAAAACCTTCTATCTCTCTCATGGCTGATATTGATCACTATAACACAAAACCTAACACTATCACCACCAACTCAACCCTAAAGCTCTTTGGCTTCAACATTTTAGAAAATAATACTGATAATAATAATATTTCAAGCAAATCTCCATCTGGGTCTCCAGAATCAGACACTGAAACGCGAAAATACGAATGTCAATACTGTTGCAGAGAATTTGCAAATTCTCAAGCACTTGGTGGACATCAAAACGCGCACAAGAAAGAGAGGCAGCTTTTGAAGCGCGCACAAATTCAAGCCAGTCGTAATTTTGCTGCTTCTTACGTTCCCAATTCCATGTTCTCCAATTTCTCGCCTCTTCCGCCGCACCTACTCCCTCCTGCAGTGGTTCCGGCGCCGCCACAATTAATACAGCAACATCAATCTCCTCCTTGGTTTTACACGACGTCGTCTTATATGAGTCGCATGTCGCATGCAAGGCCGTCCTTGATTTCTGGTCCTGGTGAGGGTTTAGGAGTTTATGCTAGAATTTCGCCGGAGAAATGGAGTGAGTTCGCCGGAGAAGATGGCGGGAATCACCGGGATAAGGGATTAGGTTTGGACTTGCAT